TTGTTCTCTAACTTCTCTCTAGATTTTTGGTGGTTTGTGCAGCGAAGCCCAGTCAGACAAGTAAGCCTTCATATCTGGTTTATTTATTTTTTAAATACAATAGTACATATGTTATAGTAGTGACCAAGGAAGTTGTACATATAACATGTTTAATGTGACCTAGAAATATGTTAAACTAGTGTCTTTGGAATATGTTAGTGACTTTTGAATATATTATTGACCTAGAAATATATTAGTGACTTAGGAATATGTTAGAGACATACAAATTAGCAGTGACTTAGGAATATTTTATACATGTAATTTAATATATTTCTTAACCTTTGTTTTAGGCATGTAAATTATTTGAAAATGAAATTAATAATACCAATTAATTTGTACTTGTGTATAGTACATTATTATAGCTGACTCGTCATCTTCTGAGTCACCTCGGTCTACATTCGATACCGAGCCCGAACCTTCGAATCCCACAATACACGTTCTTCCAGGACCATACAAGTGGGATGTATTTCGGAGGGGCACGCATGTTTCACAGGCTATGTGGAACGAGAATAAGGTTCGCCAGTGCAAAACTAGACTTGGTAGGATGGAGGGGGGCCATCTCCTGACGATATTCCCGACATGGTGGCAGACTATCTGTCACAGGCTGGCTTCCTACATGTCGCACGCATGCGACTTATTCAAGTATGCATATAAGAAAGTACTAGTGAAGAATATTTTAATTTTAATAATAAATGTGAAAAAATTAGTGTACTTGATACTTTCGTTTATTTTGATAGTTTGTCTGCATTTATTTTAGATTGATCCCATGCTGATTAGTGTTCTAGTGGAGAGGTGGAGACCAGAGACACATACCTTCAATATGACCCAGGGGGATATGACCATCACGTTGCAGGATGTTGCGACTATATTGGGTTTGTCGACTGATGGGAGAGTGGTCGTCGAAGTTACATCTTTTGACTGACGGGTCGTGTGCCAGGACGTCTTTGGCCATGCTCCCGTCGAGGCTGAGCTCCCTTTTGGGGATGTGAAGCTCTCGTACTTAGATAGACTATATCCGCATTGGGGTGCAGTTGCTGCGCATCCTGAGTAGGTTGTATTTTTTACTAAAACGCACATTGCGCGTATGTTAAGGTCATGGCTCCTTTGAGACAGATCGGGAGGTAGCGTCATTGCATGTCGCTATATTGCATTGCTTGCAGGAGATTTTCGAGAGATTGGACAGTACAGTTGGGGGTCTGCTATTCTCGCGCATTTCTTTAGACAGTTGTGCAAGCTTACAGACCCACGCATATCAGACATGAGTGGGTGTCATATTCTACTTCAGATATGGGCGTGGCTCAGATTTCCACCTATTGCTCCCTCTCTTCCTCAGCCTACTCACCATGAGTGGCACTACAGGCACCGGTATGTGTCATTTGTATATCTTCATTTGTTATCTTTTTTATTACAAATTATTAATACTTTATATGTTTAATTTGGATAACAGGTTTAATGGCTTAGCCTGCTTTAAGCCACAGCAACAACTTTTATATCAGGGGACTCTAGACACGCTATGCAGGGACGAGGTATGTTATATTTTTATGAGTGAAGCTTAATTATTATTTTCTCATGGTGGTAGATACTTAATTTATGGGATTTTTTAATATTTTTTGTAGGTGGTTTGGCAGCCAAACGACAACTATCATTTCTTGGATGCATATGCACAAGAGCTATATTTGTGGTTGGCTAGGACACCATTCATATGCTTTCATATGGTTGAGTACTACCAACCAGATAGATGCATGAGACAGTTTGGTTTGGATCAGCCAAAACCATTGAGGCCTATAAAGCTCAAAGGGGTTTATGATCACACGCTTCGAGGTAAATGGCCTGATAACTAGGTGGTTAAGCTTAGACCATTCATACATAGATGGGAGATTAGGGAGCAACTAATAGGTTTGCTGCCCCCCTCCATTGCCAGGGAAACCCTATTTAGTAACCTTCCAATTTTCACCGTATGTTGGTTTTATTACCCTAACCCTCCACGGGCAACCTTGTTCATGTGAACGTCATTTCATACTTAACTTTGTAGGCGTACTCTTAAGCACAGTCGCTTCTTGATGCTCTTTCATTAGGTTTCTCTTGATTGCCATTTGCACCTCTCTTTTTTTATGCAATTTCTTGCTTAACATACAACTTATTACCTATTATCCATGGACCATTAATTGAACCTGAACCTAAACAAGAACTTGAACCCTCGTTATAAGAATCTTGTTCGCTCGGATGATCTCAATCAATGTATGTGTAGTGTGGAATTTCTTTCCAAAAAGGAACAACATCGTCACCTGCATGTACAAAATAACACTATTAAAAAAGTTATGAATATAAATGTATATTTTCATTGTTTACTAACACACCTTCTGAAATTTGCGGTAACTGAGTGGATGCGATGTTATGATGTTTCTGGACATGAGACTCCCCCACAACATCATATTCTAGGATTTGAGTTTCAAGAATACCACGTTCATCATCATTGTCCAAAGCGCTAGCATCCTCAGCAATAAGTTGATCTTCAATTTTGATATTTTCATCATCGTCACCACCACCATCATCTTCCATAACCTAGGTAGGGTCATTTTCTCCTTCCATAGACAGATTAATAACTGGAGCAGCAAATGATGATGCATTATATGCAAAATTGAAATCAACTGACCTCATGGGTAAAGCAACATCCTCTGTTTCAGCAATATCCACGTACAACTCTAAAAAATCTTTCCTTGACTAGTTGAAAAATTCTTCAATTACCATTTCTACGTCTTCATCGTCCACAACTTGTATACTAATGTATTGTGATTCGCACCATATTCTTGCAGTGACCACATTGATAGATTGCTTACCTTCAAGCACTAATTTTTGACGAATTTTTGATGTAGTTTGCTAACTGTTGAGTTGTGCATGATGCGTGTTGGTCTTTTCTCTCCTTAAAAATGACACCATGTCGACCTTCCATTTTCCTACCATTATAATATAAAACAACACGAATAGAATCAGAATGTGAACTCATTCTTAACTATATTAACAAAAAGCACAAAACAGAGTATGCATAAGCAAGTGAGATTGTATGAAAGACTAAGAAGTTATGATGTTCAAGAGTTGTGAACAATATGGAGATGAGAGGTGTTTAAATAAGGAAGAAGTATGCCAATCACTCCTAAAAGAGGCAGGATATGTGTGTGAGTCATGCCTAAATTAGGCGTAATAAACCGTGCAATCATCCCTACACAGGGCGTGACTAATCACGCCTAATTTAGGCGTGAATTACGTGGCATTCACGCCTATTTTGGGCGTGAATTGTCTCGCCCAATTTGAACGTGAATGAGTGCTGTAAGTTGAAAATTTTCCTTAGTTAGCAGTGTAATTCTTATTGAAAATGGGCTGAATATAATTGAAAGTGCAAGTAAAAATGACCCAAAATGCAAAGAATGGACCCAATAAGGTATTTGGGTTGATAATGACATATTAGTAATGTCTGTGATATTTTTTTCTACTATTTGAACTAGGATGGCATAATTGTAATAAAGAAGCTAAGATGGCAAAGTGAGAACCGTTGGATGCTCTTTTGATCTAAGGGACAACAACTACTTGATGCTTTAGTTTATAAATCGGAATATCTATTTGTGATAAAGGAGAAAAGAAATTTCATTTTTCATTTTTTGATTTCACAAGCGTTTAATTTTCTTTGTAATTTTCTTGGAGACTATGCACAAGGAAGAACACCACTCTTGAAGGGATTCAAGAAGACAAACCTTCAGTGCAACTCGTGGTTTTACATCTCTGTTCTTAAGCTTTTCGTAATTTTATAATTTCAATTGTGAAGAATCATATTGGTTTGTACTTTACATCTCTTACTTTTTTCTAGTATTTGTGAATGAAAAACATGTTTACTGTTATGTTGAGTCTCATTTTTGCTTTAATTTTCAACATGCATTGCTAATACCATTTTCTAGAATTCTGATGAAGATGACAAGTACCCATTAATTGATTCAAACTGTTGTGCATGTTCTAGATGTTTGATTAGTGAAAATTTATTGGTTTAAGTTCCATGGAAATGGGCTTAAAGATTCTTGCATAAACTTTTATTGGAAGATTTGAGTTTATGCATTTCATTAATTCAAGATTTCAAGATTAGGAATAATCTGGAAATAATTTGATTATAAGTCATCAATGAACTGATTCAAGATTAAGGGATTAATTTGAATCATTTTAGAACTGAATTTGGGAAAATTTAGTTAAGTTCTACAAAAGTCAGATTCCATCAAGTTAGATGCTACAACAGTTAAAACCTAGACATGCAACTTTCAAGGAAAATTCATTGAAATCAGAATTCTAGATTTTTAATATTCATTTTTACTCATTTAAACGTGTTCTTACTATTCTCAGTATAGTTTTCATTTTAGAAAATTATAATTTCCATTGAAAAAGCCATCAATTTAACCTTCAAGAAAATAAAAAAAGGAATAACCGAAAGAAATTAAATTTCCCGTTCCCAGTTAACGATACTTGAATTCTTTTTGAATTCTATACTTTTTAAAAATATCCAAACAACAAAATGGCGTTGTTTGATGCATAGTTTAAAAAAATATCTATACTTTTTATTTAGTTTCTTTTTTGATATTCTGTTTTTAGGTTCTTGAATTTGAATTTTTTTATTCTTCTTCTTTTTATTTTCTGTTAAACTCTGACGTTTGATGCATAGTTTGCAGAAATAAATTGTAAAAAAAAAAAGTAGTGACAAGTCTGGGTTCTGCCGATTCTGAAGAAAAGATAAAGGTTTGGTTGTTGAGCACTACAAAAGGGAACCACAATGGCATGAGAGGATGGATTTTATGATGCAAATTTTATCCATGAAGTCGATGAAACAACTTCATTTGCAGCTCAACTTGCTGCCTTAAATGAAACTATAAAAAGGCAACCAGCACCTGCTCCAATATCTGCTACAAAACTTATCTGGTCCTTGTGCTATGGACTTCATGCTTTGGAAGAATGCCCCAGCAACCCAAATTCTGTCCTTTATATGGGAGGCTTCAACCAAATTTACGACAATCAAAACCAATTTCATCAACAAATATGGCAGAACCATTGAGGTAATTTTGCTCAAGGCCAAGGCCAAAATTACCAATACTAGCAGCCTTATCAAGAATGGAAACAATCATTTGAACCAAATGAGCATTTTTCACCTTGTTTATTCAGCAACTTTTTGCTGAACAACAAGAATTCAGCTCTGCAGAAGCACACCCTTCTTTTGAGCAGTGGATGAAAGATTATGCTGCAAAGAATAATCATGCTGTGCAAAATCAGACAGCTCTACTCCAAAGTCATAGTGCCATGTTGAAAAGCATTGAGATACAAATAGGTCAACTTGCTAAAGCAATTAGTAGCAAACCTTTGGGGGCACTCCCTAGTGATACTGAATTTCCAAGGAGGGATGAAAAAGAAGTATGCAAAGACCTCCAATTGAGGAATGGCAGAGAAGTGGATCAGCCAGAGTATGATATAAGGCTGTCTACCTTGAGGAAATTGATAGAGAAGGAAGGACAGCAAGTGGAAGACACCCCTTCAACTCAACCTTCACTCAATCAAACTTCACCTCAAGAGAAAGACATGGAAGATGAGATTACTGCTGAACTAGAAAAGCAAGTGCCAAAATCAAAGGCACTACAAATCGATATGCAGAATAGTGAAGTTCCTCAACATGTATCAAGGGCAAGAAAACTCCTCTCTCCTCAAAGACTTCAAAAACAGCAAGAGGAGCACTACCTCCCAAATGATTTGTCACCCAAGCTGGAAAATTCAAGTTCTTTTACAATTCATTGTGCAGTAGAAGATACGAATATTGGAGGAGCCTTGTGTGATCTTGGCTCTAATATTAATTTGATGTATACTTCTATTGTTAACCAACTTGGAATGGTAGCCTCTCCTACCACAATAACTCCTCAATTAGTTGTTAGGTCACTTGAACACCCTGATGGAAAAATAAATAATATATTAGTGAAAGTTTATAGGTTTATTTTTCCAGCAGATTTCATAATACTTGATTTTGAAGCTGCCAAGGATGTGCCTATTATATTGGATAGGCCATTCTTAGTTAAATAGGATGCTATTATTGATATTAAAATAGGTGAATTGAGTATAAGGGTCAATGAGAAAAAAATGGCATTTAAGGTCTTGAATTCCATGAATTCTATAGATGAAGGTATTGATGGTTGTTGCCCTATATCTATGTTGGATCATTTGGTTGCTAACCATGTGCTTTTAAGTAGTGAAAATGATAGCTTAGATAAAGGCAACTTTGAACTAATAGAGCCTAAACCAGCCAAGTTTTTTAGAGTCAAGAAATTTGAACTATTAGGATTGCTTGATAAGGATATGAACTCTAGCTCCTTATATCAACAGGGAAGACTTAGTCTACTCTTGAAAGAAATGGTTCAAATGAAAATAATCAATTGGTTGGATACAGGATAAATTGTTCTAAATTTGAAGATAAGAATCAAATTATTTCCAATCAAGTTTAGATGGCTGAAGCATTATTGGACAAGGCATGTGAATAAGGAAAAAACTTTCATTTCTTTATTGGATGCTGGATGAACCATTTAATATGATTTTAGTAGTTTAGTCCTTAGTTTGTGAGTGTGCTTGTGCAGTTAGTACGTAGGATAATTAGTCTGTGAAAGTTGTCATGTTTTGTTAATTTTTTTTGAGTAGTTTTTAACTTATTATTAGTGAGTTGTAAATTTAAAGATAGTACGTAGAGGCACTTTTGTTTTGTTATAGGCCAAGTGTTATTGTTGTCCTTGTATGTAAAAAAAAAATGGAAACTTGAACTGATAAGAAGTGTTCACTGAAAATGTTGAAAGTGGATAGGTTTAACAAATGTAATATAAGAGAGAAATTGGAATAAGTGATTGAGAGTAGGAAGGGTGGACTAACCTCTTAAGTTTGGGGTAGCACAAGAGTAAAGTTCTACTGGTGTTACCTTTCTGATTCTTTGTGTTTGTAGCATAGTTGTCAGCCATAAAAAATGGGTATAAATGAGAGTGGGAAAGTATAAGTGAGGCTAGTGAGAGCGACTTAAGCTTGCCAATGCCTAAATGAATTAATTCTCCTATAACAATTTTGTAAGGAAGTTATGGTAGGTAAGCCTAATTGATTAAGTTTGTAGTTCAAATAGCAATTGCAACAATAATGAATTGGTTGAAAACTACTTATTCCTTTTTGAGTATGGTTGGTGGCTTGAGTATGTTATTTGGGCTGATTTAGGAAGATATATGTGTGAGCAAGCCTTTATGCAAATTTATTTTACCAGAATATTGAATGGGTTGCATCCTTGCTCCTTACCCCGATTAAGTAATCAAAATAAAAAAAAAACAAAATATAGCACTCAATTGAACTTTGGGCTTTCCATGCAATTGGTTCATCTAATATTCTGACCCAGTCCAAACCATGCTGCTATACACATTACATAGTACTATGCTCAACCACTTCTTGAATATGATAATTGTCAGTTCGTCTCCTTCCCTCAATTTGGGGTTCTTAATCAGTCGTTGTTTATTGGGTGTGTAATAGAGAGTTCGTTTTCAGAGCAGTTTGAAAAGAGGAGTGTTTCTTTTCAGCCATTAATTGTATCTCTCAGAACACCCAGTACCATGTGTTAATGTAATTGAAGGACACCCACCAACTTTAGTCTAAGTGAGTTGACAAGACTCGACCCTTGTGAAGCTCAAGACCTACTCACACTCTTCACGCCCCAATCTCGATTCTCTCTTTCATCGCATAAGTCTGGGGTACTTCCTCCTTACTCGATCGAAGCTTTCAAATAGCTGATCAAAGAGCTATACCCATCATTTTGGTTCAGCTGATTCCATATTTGTAAGGAGAAATATTCCAGATTTCACCACACGCTGGTCTCGATTCTTGAGGTTGATATATAGCAGAGTTGGATTTTTGAGCTGGGGTTTGATTCATTTTCATTTAGTAGGATTCACACTCATGCCAGCAAAGCACTCAGTTCAAGTTCTTTTTTACCCTTCTCCTTGGTTGAACCATTCCATTTCATTCACTTCTGACAGCACATACACACATCTACTTCCATTTTCCTTTGTTTAACATCCATTCGAACTTCATTGGTACAACAAGGATATTTTGTGATTTTCATTCTCTGATATTACTGTGTGATGGCAATGTAATTTTGGTCTGGTAGAAATGTTGTCATATGTACATTTCATGGCTTCGTTTAGCTAGTTTCTATTTTTATCTAATGCTACATTGTATTATTGTTTGGATATTAATGTGTCTTTGTCTAGCTATAAAAATTGGCCTAAGAGGTGCAACATGATGACTCATGCACATGGGCTGGGTATCACCACTATTATGTTTGTGACCAATGCATGCTGACACTAGTAATTGTGATTGTTTGGAAGCAAGGAATAATAGAAGCCATTACATGTTTGCTACTACTATTTGGATCAATTGAATTACTTTTCATCTCAACTTCTATCTGCAAAGTTTTTGAAGTGGAGGATCCAATCTCAGTAGCAACATACTCCTCAACTTCACAATATTAAGCAAACCATATTCATGGTCTTACAGGTTCTATCTTCCCACTCTTTTATATAGTTGTGAAATACTATTTGCTTTGTTGAAACTTTCTCACATGCTTTAAATTCAGTATCACTAACATGTATTGATTGTGTGCTGGTGTATACTGTTATTTGTTGTGAGGACGCAACTGTGTGTTAAGTTTGGGGTGGGGTATACAATGTATACAAGTTGTATTAATTGGTTTTATATGCTGAGTTTAGAGAAAATGATAAAAATTTCAAAATTTTAGAAATTTGAGCAGCAATATTTTTTTCTGATTGTGCATGAAAGCAATTAACATGAAATCATCTTTATTTGTCTTTAATATCTTGTCAGCCTTGTATTTAATTTTAGTCTGAGTTATGAATTGACCATACAACATCATGTTGCATTTCATAAAAAATTGCTCTGACATAACTTAGCTTGTCCAATGCTGACATCACTAGTTGATACCTTAGTAAGGATTTGAACCTAAACACTTGAATTCTGTTGTTGAGTGATCACTCTGCATTGGAGCTCTTGATTTAAAAATGTCCTAGACAACTGGTTAGTACATTTACACATGATAAAGGCACTTATTTGTTATTGAAAAACCTAGAGCCAAATTGCCTACCTTGTGTTTCAATTTAATCCTTTGCAACCTCATTTGAACCTAAGCCTTTTCTTTCATGATATATAACCTGTAAAGTGGCAAGCCAAATCCCCTTTCATACCCTGTTTTGGAAGCCTTAGCATTTAATTAATTTTCCTAGGCTAAAAAGACTTAAACAGTAAAGAATGGCAGGAAGAAGCTAGCTAAAAAATATAGGTGCATAAAAAAAAGAGAAAGAAAGAAGGGGAAGCATCAAGTAGAAAAGAAGAGGAGAAAGAACCCCTAGTGGCAAAACAAAATAAAAGGGGATGTTAAAAAAATGATGAAAGTGGAGAATACAGGTGATAGACTTGAAAAGAAAGGTTGTTAGTATAAAATAAAAAAAAGGTAGGAAAAAATGTGATAAAAATAATAATAATAAGGGTGCATTTGATGAAAGGAAGTGAGTTAGTAAAAAAAAACAGAGAGAAAAGAAGCAGTTTCTTCCTGTCATTCATCAAAATAAGTCTTATAAGTCTATTGAGGATTAATTAGACACTAGAGGACACCCATAGTTAGCCAAGTGACCTGGAAAAACAAAAGACCAAATCCAACCCCATTACAAGCCTAAAAGACCTTTTGATGGAAATGGTACACTAGACATCAAGTGTCTAGGTAAATTAGGGAAGATGCAACAATGTATTGTGATGATGAGTGACTAACCTCTAAAAAAGAGAAGTAAAAATAAAGAGTAAAAAAATAATAGTGAGGAACTCAGTGATTAGGCATTGGTTGGTATGAGTTATGAAGAGTAAGTGTTTGATATGAAGTGTACCACTAATTTTTGTTTGTTTGATTAATAACTTAGTGTGAAATAAATCATTGGTCTGTTTTTGATATTGAATGACAAGTGGAGTGATTGATGATAAAGGTTGGAATGTAAAAAAAATAAAAATTGTCCTATCATAACTGCTCAAATTGGTTGATGAACTGAAATTTTGAAAGAGGAAATAATTGATATGATCTTAGACTTGGATATCTACATTGATGTACAAGAGTTGTGAACAATGTGGAAATGATAGGTGTTTAAATAAGGAAGAGGTATGCCAATCACTCATAAAAGAGGCAGGATATGTGTGTGAGTCATGCCCAAATTAGGCGTAATAAACCGTGCAATCATGTTTGCATGGGGCGTGACTAATCATGCCTTGAACGTGAATGAGTGCTACATACCCGTAATTAATTTCAAAACAACCATGTATATGTATTAAAATTATAATATTTTATTTTAGGCTAAATTACAATTTACCACCTTGTACTTAGACCCCTATTCAGAAAACCACCCCCTACTTTTAATTGAAATAATTAACCCCCTCAAACTATATCATTAAAGCAATTAAGCATATCTGTTAAAAGAAACATCCAACTCTGTTAACTATCTCACGTGATGACCGAAAATCGTCCAATCTTCTTTTCTAAAAATCAAGAACTGTTCTATTTCTTGATCACCTTATCATTCTTTCTATCGTTCGCTAAAGCATCTAAAATCCCATTTTCCAACAGATGTTTTTTTCATTGGGTTGGTTATATCGATTTTTAAGTGACGATAATTAATTTCTCCCACACAAAAAAATATATATGTATATAGTTGTGTTCCCTAATCTTCTTGTTTCTGGGTTGCTTTTTGGTTTGTAGTTCTTTACATCTTTTCTGGTCAAATATCATTCCTATAAATTGTTTTTTCTTCTTCTTCTTGCTGAATACTGGATCTTGGGCGTTTTTTAAAACTACTAGTCTTCTGTTTTCTGTTAAATTTTCTGGCATGTTTAAATTAAAATGTTTCTATGTTTTGCCTCCATCACCATTATCAGCATGCAATATCTTCTTGATCGCCTTTCGTGACTTCCTATACATTTTGACGTTCCTTTGGAGTCTTCTTGAGCTT